CGTCTCCGGTCAATAACCAATAGTGGAACCTGGATGCTCATATTGGCTCCTACATATTCTACGAAGATCTTTTATTGGTTAGACCGCATAACAACATACATTGTTCCCTTTGTCATCGGTATGTTACTTGCCCGAGATTTGATCGTCGGTATCTCAATACCTAGTTCAATCTCGTTACTGGCAAGTCTCTTTACTCGTTCCGTAATACATCATCCCGCAACTAACTTATTAGTTGCAATGCTTGCAAGGCTTATGTGATGTGCATTACCGAGAGGGCCCAGAGATACCTCTCCGACAATCGAAGTGACAAATCCTAATCTCGAAATACGCCAACCCAACAAGTACCTTCGGAGACACCTATAGAGAACCTTTATAATCACCCAGTTATGTTGTGACGTTTGGTAGCACACAAAGTGTTCCTCCGGTAAACAGGAGTTGCATAATCTCATAGTCATAGGAACATGTATAAGTCATGAAGAAAGCAATAGCAACAAACTAAACGATCAAGTGCTAAGCTAACGAAATGGGTCAAGTCAATCACATAATTCTCCTAATGATGTGATCCCGTTAATCAAATGACAACTCATGTCTATGGTTAGGAAACATAACCATCTTCGATCAACGAGCTAGTCAAGTAGAGGCATACTAGTGACACTATGTTTGTCTATGTATTCACACATGTATTATGTTTCCGGTTAATACAATTCTAGCATGAATAATAAAAATTTATCATGATATAAGGAAATAAATAATAACTTTATTATTGCCTCTAGGGCATATTTCCTTCACTACGAGGGTATGTGGACGACACTCTCCCCTCTCATTGCTATGCATCACCATGATCTTGCGTGTGCGTAGGAATTTTTTTGAAATTACTGCATTCCCCAACAATATCACACAAGGTATTCCTCTGGTATCCGGGAGTTGCATAATCTCATAGTCAAAGGAATATGTATATGACATGAAGAAAGCAATAGCAATAAAACTGAACCATCAATATGCTAAGCTAACGGATGGGTCTTGTCCATCACATCATTCTCGTAATGATGTGATCTCGTTCATCAAATGACAACACATGTCTATGGTTAGGAAACTTAACCATCTTTGATTAATGAGCTAGTCTAGTAGAGGCTTACTAGGGACACTATGTTTTGTCTATGTATCCACACATGTATCAAGTTTTCAATTAATAGAATTCTAGCATGAATAATAAACATTTATCATGACATAAGGAAATATAAAATAACAACTTTATTATTGCCTCTAGGGCATATTTCCTTTAGTAAGAGTATTGATCCCATAGAGAGTACGAGAAATTGGACTTTATCCCTTACAGAAACTTCTGGAGATGTGCCTCCGAGTTAGTTGTAGACGCTAGCATCGTGCTTCTTGACTGGGGATAATGCCTCGAAAGGTTGTGCTGCTTTGCTCGATGCGACTCTTGTCCATTTGCATTTTATTGAGCGTGTCCTCGTAGATGAGGTTCAGCCCGCTGCCGCCGTCCATGAGAACCTTAGTGAGCCGGAAGCCATCCACAATTGGGTTTAAGACCAAGGCGGTAGTGCTCGGACTGATCTGGCCCTTGGTTCGTCATCGGCAGTGAAGGTTATTGCCATATCATTCCAAGGATTTATTGCGGCTACTTGGTTGACTTCAGCGAGGTCGCGAAGCGCCCTTTTGCGTCGATTGTTTGAAGAAAAGGTCTCGAAGACCATAAAGATATTGAGATCGTCGTCCTCTGAAGAGTGCGTCTCCGGGGTGAGGTTGGTGAGGATGGCCTCGCCGCTCTTAGCCACTTGCCGGAGCACCCAACATGCCCGAAGGTTATGTGTTGGTTCGATATTCGGCGTAGTGTGTATCTGATAGGGCTTGTTGAGCAGTTCGTCAAGGACAGTTCTATGTCCTATGAAGAATTTGATTCTCTTGTCAATGAGGTGATGATTGGGTGACCCGTAAGGGTGCATCCTTTTAGCCCGTCCGGTGTGCTGCTTAAAGGTAGGAGTATCCCATCGGGCTGTCTGGGCTTTCCAAGCACTTTCCATTGTGCAGTACTTCTGTACTATGTGTGCCAAATCTGCAAAATGCAGTATGCGGCAGCGGTTGAGGGCATTGAGGATTCCCTCGTCCGCACAATTGCAGCAAAAAACTGAAACTGCATCATCGTCGCATCAATCTTTAATCTTGTTTTTAACAAGGAGGAACCTGGGCCAGAAGTGATGGACCGTTTCCTGAGGCTGTTGTCATACATACATTAGGTCACATATGTCTGGAGTACCTGAATTGCTTGGGGAATATTTCTTGTGGTGGGTGGGCGGGTTAAAATCCGAACCCTGACCCGCCATTGGATCTGGAGCTTGAAGAATCTCTGAGGTCACTAGTCCAGGATCCGGAGGGTCCTGGAGACTTTCGGGCTTGACACCTGAGTCCATATTCGGAGGACATACAGTCTCTTCCCGAAGACGGGTATCCGGCACATAAGGCTCGAAAATCCGAACATAGCTTGTTCTTAACTTGGGGGGGAGAAGTGTCCTCAGATTGCTCCTCCACGACCGCTAGCAGATGGGTGATCGGCAGGGACTTGATTTCCCTCTGATTGGGTTCAAGCACAATCCAATCATAATCCGTTGTGACTCCTAGGGCGGCGATGCGATCTAGCAGTTCGTTCAAGGGCGAGACATCTGCCAGATCCATCTTTTTGGAGTGTTTGAGGCTGATGCAGAGGTGATGGTTGGTGATTGTGGGGGCTGCCTTTGGCTTAACGGCCAGGCGGGCGCTCATGGTGAAACCGCCAAGCTGGAGGACCTGTCCTAGAGCTAGGGCCCTTCCAGAGGTGATGCCATTATTATGACAAGGCGATCCATCGATCCTTCCATCAACGACACAGAGGGACTCTCAATGAAAGCACCAATGTCGGTGTCAAAACCGGCCGATCTCGGGTAGGAGGTTCCGAACTGTGCGTCTGAGGATCGAAGGTAACAGGAGACAAAGGGGACACGACGTTTACCCAGGTTTGGGCCCTCTCAATGTAGGTAAAACCCTACTTCCTACTTGATTGACTTTGATGAGTATAGGGGTTACAAGAGTTGATCTACCTCGAGATCGTAATGGCTAAACCCTAGATGTCTAGCCTATATGAATTCTGATTATCCCTACGAACTAAATCCTCAGTTTATATAGACACCGGAGGGGCCTAGGGTTGTACAGAGTCGATTTACAGAAGAAGGAATCTATACACCCGGACGCCAATCTTGCCATCCACGCAAAGGAGAATCCCATCCGGACACGGGGAAAGCCTTTTACTCTTTATCTTCACGGTCCATCAGTCCGGCCCATAATACACGGGCCGGATACCAAAGGACCCCTTAATCCAGGACTCCCTCAGACGCGGAGCACAATGAAGGCAAAAGATAGTAATGATTTTGAGTTGAGTGTGAACAAAACTAAATAGCATAAAGAATTAGAAGGGCGCATCACAACGAATAAAGCATTGAAATCGACGAAGGATTAAAGCGTTCTTAGGGACGTCTGAAATTCCCATTGGTATGTGTCTAACATAACATATGCTACTGCATAATTCTAAGTTGGATACTTGACTCAAGAATTCCTCAAGTCACTCTTGATATTTGTGATTGGGCGGATCCTAGTACATAATACGTTCTACTCGGGGTAGACTTCATACCATGCACGCCACTACTATAGTTTCCCTACTCGGTTATCACTACCGTAACTAAGGGTTTTCGCGTGGACGCAACATTGCCAAGGGTTCTCCGTTATTCCCTATCAATTGCAAATGTGAGGTAGAGAGGTTTTTACTATCACCTTGAATTACCTCAACATCTTAGCGTTTGCAACTACGATAATATGCTTCATGGTTTTGCGACGTAAATGCCGAGTGGGGCCCTTTCACGACATTCACAAAGGGTGTTACCAAACATTCAACAAAGAATCTCATATCCTTATTAACATTTTATCTTCTATACATACCAAGGTTCATCCATATCCCCGAGAACTAAGGGAACTACACACACATCACAGTATGCATCACCACCGAGATCCGTCGGTGGCTCCCAGACCACCTCCACCCCGTGCTAGTCGGTGACGCCACCGCAACCCGCTTGGACATCATCTCCGCCGCTTCAAGCCCCGTCTCTATCGCCGCTCGTCTCGTCTCCTCCGTGGCCCACATCGACACCGAAATCGACAACTTACCTCTTGTCAAAAGGGGAGAGAAGATGAGTGGATGGATAAGGTAGAACCAGTGCAACACTCGCGTTTGCGCTGGACCACGCGGGAGTGAACACTTTGTTGCATCTGACGTGTCAATGAGATCACACGTTAAGATTGACGAAGTGCATCCAACAGTTGCTAGGATGTTCGTGTTGAGAAAAAATATCTGAAACTTTTGATAATTCTATAGACCTGGTCCACTGAATGCGGCACATGACCTGGTCAAATGGTTCGGCACGGCCCAACCTGGCCTAAATGGGCCAGACACGGCGCGACCCACCCAGGCACGCCTAATACGCAGGTCGTGTCGGGTAGGCACTCGCACCGCACTCGTTGGCCCAAGCACATCACAACAAGAAAATGGGCCAGCCCATTGACACGTTTAGCCCACCAGCCTGCTTGATTTTGGGCAGTTTTGGGCCTAGCTATTTTGAGGGGCTAATATATATTGAATTTTTTTTGAAATAAATAAAAAGTAAGCGACCGTGTTGTGCCGACATTTGTGCCCAGCCTCGCGGCCCAGGCACGGCCCTAGGTGGGCCACATGCCGGCACGACCTGATTATAACATGCCAGGCCAGGCTCACCATGTTGACGGGCACGCGGGTTATCGGGCCAGCACCGGCCCATTTGGCCACATTTGGGCATAGCTCACTCGTATAGACCGCGTCCACCTGTAGTGTCACTCAGGTCTCACAGGCCATCAGCGTCCAAACGGTGAAAGAAGCCCAAAGAGGGCAACGACGAGGGTTTTAGAGCCCATCCACACCAGCCATGGCGACGGCGGCTGGCGGCGCGCGGCGAGCCCTCGCGGGGCTGCGCTCCGCTTCCCCATCTACTCTGTCCAGAACGTTTTCCAGGCCGGCAGTTGCCCAGTCCCCGGAGCTGGCGGCCTCCGCTCTGCCCCGCGCCCCGCGCCGGCGCCTCGCGATCTCGAGGTAGGTACCTCTGTGATTCTTTTCCTCGGATTGGTCGTGCTTGGACAGTATGGTTTGCTCAGATTTGGCGCGGCCCTCATTCTGCAGGGTGCCGGTGGCGGCGCTGGGCGGCGCGCAGGGGCTGATGCCGCTGCACAGCGCGACGGCATCGGCGCTGCTCACCTCCATGCTCGGGCTTAAGCCCGGGTCTTGGGGTTGGCTCTCCGAAGGTAAAATGACTTAATTTGTCTTGTTGGGTCTCCTTGACATGGATGAGGCGTGGAAATGTTAAAAGTTCAGAAAACGAACTACAGTCATCTAGTGAATTATGTCAGAATTAGATTTTGTTCTCCCTTCTATTAGGTTTGAAGTTTGATGTATCTTTTAAACATAATAGTGCTTCGTTAGTTTTGAACTTTTTGATATATCTGCATTCCCATGATTGAGATGGCGTCTATTCATGGCCAGGCTGAAATAAGGTGCACTTCAAATATGAACATAGCAATGCCTGAGTTAGAATGGTTGTTGTGGGAAGCGAGTGGCCAGTGTGTGCCTGAGTTTTAATCTAATATCGCTTGGTGTGTCCTTGTTTTGGGGTTAATGGATGGCATTCACTACTTTATCGTTGTTGCTGGCTTGCTCCAAATGCATGCCCCTATGTAGTATGTACCTTCAACTGAATTTTATTGTTTACAGAGGGAGTACAAACCTTGAAATTATCTACTCCGTTCCTAAATATAAGTCTTTAAAGATTCTAGTATGGACTACATACGGAGCCAAATGAGTGAATCTACACTCTAAACTACGTCTATATACATCCGTATGTAGTCCATAGTGAAATCTCTAAAAAGACTTATATTTAGGAACGGAGGAAGTAATTGTTATGTTCTTTAGTTGAGCTCCTTCCTCTTAGCGTATGGCCTGTCGATTTTCTGTTTGTAAGCATTTTGTTAACTGCTTTCTCCTTTTAGAAAAATGTTATGTATTCTCTCATTTATGCCTCTTGCTTGGTTGATTTCATCTTTTCTTAAATGATCAGGTCAAATAGCTTGATCATCTATTAATGTTCTTTACAATACCAGGACAAGGCACATAGTTATAGGGCATATACTGTATAAGAAGTTAAGAACTGACATCCCGAAAGACGGCAATGGCATGTAGAACCAAAGGTTGAAGCCAAGGTGTATGCAATCCTTATACCAAAATAACCGTTAATTTGTTATAGACTGTCAATAATGCTGCATCTTTGCTTATTTTGGTTCACCTGATCACTTGATGAATTTCTTTCCTTACAAAATGGATATGCTACACTGGTAATTAAGCCTGTCATATTGTATTGATACTAGATATTGTATGGAGCATCTTGATACTATCTCTGCTGATGAAAGATGCATGAATTTTATGTTGCTTGTACACCTGCCAATGCCTTTCACTAAAAGCCATCCTTTACCACTGTACTTTGGTAGTTGGCCTTCTGTAATGTGATAGTGGTACTTCCACACGTTCTCTTTGTTTTTTGTAGTGTTCTTGTTCTGACCCTTTTTCCCCCTCTCATTTGCAACTTCAGGTTTTGCAACGCCTCTATAACAAGAATGGTGCTCCAGTCACCATACGAGAGTCTTCAGTTTAGCCTTCCCCTGGCAGATTCCAATAACACTAGCTACATGCCTTGTGGACTATACCATTGGATTTTTGCTGATGGAATCTGTAGTTTCACTGCTTAAAACTTATGATGACATAGTGTGCCAGTCATCTTATTGCCCTGTGACGATATTCATGGCAAATTTGAAGTAACCTTCTTTCATGATACCAGTTTTTGTTTATCTGATGCATTTTATGATTCTTCGCCCTGAATGCATCATGAAATCCTAAACATACTCAATTCATAACGGCAGTTACATAGCTCAATGGAAAGTGATACACCACATCATTTGCATGAATACGGACTCTCTTTCAGCGTACACTGACTGGTTTGATTTCTAGTCGATATGCCAGTCACAGTCAGTGCCGAATACTATAGGCTAGAGTTTGCCTTTATTTCAAATTCAATATTTGTGTATTAAAAAATCTGTGTCTACTCTGTGCCCACGCGTTTCAGGGTTCAAGATCAATGAAATGCGGGTTACATGCCATTAAAATTTATACCATTGAATTTATATTCAAAAAAAGTTCATAATGATATAACTGTCTACATCACATGGCTCGTATGTTTAGTCTAACTGATGGTGAATTAAATCTTGAAATACTGCAAAACCAGGGGGGATTTACTCTTTCACTTGTAAAAATAGCATTTTTAATTGTGGCAATGTTTACAAGGCTGAGTTTGATTTGTGACACATCTTTAGAAAATAAAAGTAATGGACAATTTGAAATTGTATACAAAAGCTGGATAAACTTATTGTATCATAAATTTAGAAGTTCTAAGACAAGCTTTTCAATTTCCATCATAACATGGGTACAAGTCAAAAGGTTAGCTTACTTATTCAGATTTGCCCTTTTATTATTTCCATAAGAGGTAAATACACCACAAGTCTTAGAACTTGCGCACGGCGATCACTTTGGTGCATAAAGTTCCAAAATACGTGTTTGTGGTCACTAAACTTGTGAGGCCGTTTAAATACAGTCACTATCACCATACGCATGCGTATCCGTCAACGCCGGCGTGGCACGGGTCCATTGTCAGCCACTATAAATGTTCTTGTATGATAGATTTGTAGAAAAGCCTTCAGTTCTTTTTTTATTTACACACATAGGATGCCCCTCATCTTAGATAAAAAAAGAATAGTGGGGCGGTGGGTTTCGGTCCCATGATGTACTGCTGTGTGGCTCGCTTAGACAACCACCACATCAAGAGTACCTAATGTTTGATTAGCACGAGTACCTTATATATCCTATCATCGCGGATCGAAAAAAATTAATGAAGAAATCTACTCCCTCCGTCTCATAATATAAGAAGGGAGTATCTAATATAAGAAATCTACTTCCTCCCTCCCATAATATAAAAAGGGTGTAATGTTAAAAACGTTCTTATATTATGGGACAGAGGAAGTATCTAATAACTATACAATGTGCAACCGGCTGGTTCGAACCTGAGAGATGACGATTCACTCGCTAATAAGCTAACAACCAGGCAACTGCGACATGTAATGTAGTTTGGGACAAATGTTTTTATGACTCTTGTTCTATGCAAGTACGTGACATTTTTAAAAAATGTTTGTGTAATTCAAAATATTTTCATGCATTCAAAAAACAACACGAACAGTTTTTTGAACTATGCGAACATTATTGTACATTGTGTAAACTACACGAATATATATTTATTTATTTTGAAATGTGTCAACAATATTTTAAATGCAATGTACATTTTTTCATTTACACAAATATTTGTTTACAGTGTTTAAACAATTTTATAAATGTCATGTAGTTTTTTTAACGCATTTACATATTTTGAATTGCACAAATAATCTTTTATAAAGTTTAAACATTCTTTTATAATAAATAAATGTTTAGTTGATATAATTTAAATATTATCCTGTGCATATTGTTTACTCATGACTTATATTCAACAAAATTATAATTTAAATATTAAACACAATTAATTATTCATACCAACAGATTAGATTTTAAATTATGAATATTGTAAACTATACAAACATTGAACTATACAAAATGTGCGTATAATTATAGAAATGTTTGTATAATTAAAATACTTTATGAATTTAATTTTAAAAAGTATTAGTACTATAATTATACAAACATTTTTATTATTCATAAATATTATTTGAAAATGATACATGAACAACTTTTTATGATCCACGGCTTTCTAAAATAAAATGAATAATTGTAACGATAAAGAACTTTTTTTAATTATGAGACCTGATCGTCGTACATTTTTAGATAAATTATCGCTCCTCTTGACAGGTAGGTCCCATCAGCAGTGAACTATTTTTGCACAAAAAAGAAAAAGAAAAAGGGGTTTTGTGCAATAACACGTCTATGTGTCATTGACAGCAGGCCTGTGCCATGCTGGGTTGACGGATACACTCACGTACAGGGAGAGTGTCTGTATTTGAACGGTCTCGCAAGTTTCGTGACCACAAACATGTATTTTGCAACTTTGTGCACCAAAGTGATCGCCGTGTGCAAGTTCTAAGACCTCTGGTGTATTTACCTCTTTCCATAACTTTTTGTGTACTTGATACAAAGTTTCGATTATTAAACTTTCCCTGCGACCAGATCTTTTTATGCTGTCTTGGAACCAACAACTTACTTCATGCTATTACTAACACTTATCACTGAGCCGCACTTGCTTTTCAAAAGAAATTGAAACAATCATGCCTGTGACTAAGCAAATGGAAGAAAGAGCCACAAGCAAGCCATATCAGCGTCCTGTTTCTCCGCTTTCTTCAACAATGCAAATCTACCTCACTCATCATAACTCAAATACAAATTCGAGTTCTAAATTGATATTTCCTTACCTAAGCAAAGTCTACAGAAAAATGTACCAAGATCTACACTATCAAATATATATGGTATGGAAATACACTTTATAAAGAATCCACTGGAAGTAATTTGGTGTTGCAAATATTGATATGTTTTTTTCTGGAGACTTGGTCAAACTTGAGTTGACATACGAAAAAGTTATCGATTATTTTGGAACGAAGAGAGTACGGGGAAGTCAAAGGATCATTTGGTGCATACCCAAATATATGATATATGTGCCTGCTTTGCTGTATCGTTATATCTTTGGAACTTTGTCCGCAAAACAACATATACACTAGTCCACGTACGAAATGTCACGAATATTGTGACCTTGGCTGTATCATCGCACCTACAGCCAATATGCAGCCAGACGGTGTTCTCATGCAAAACTGCACCATGATCTTTGCATTGCTTGACTTCATTCATTCGTCGTTGCATTCAAACGATCACGATTGTGTCCTTGCCCTTATCTTCTTCATCTTCCGAGTCATCATCGGCATGCGACACTAAATTTCTATCACTAGGTGGAGCGTTCTGAAATATATCGAACAGCAGATCTCGTATTCGCTTCCGCAGCCCCGAAGCTTGTACAGGCCTGAACCACTTGCGTCCAAACTAAAAACCAGCAAGAGCACAAAAGTCAAGACTCCTGATATTTATACTGAATACAAATAATGAAGCAGTTTAATTTACACCTTGCAAGGCCGCACTCCTGTCAAATCATCTGGTGCCTCTTGAATAAACTTATCGATGTAGTAAAGCATAAAGACACCACAGTCAAAGTCATTTTGCTGCTGGGGCACCTGGCAAGTGGAAACGAAAGGTGGCTTTAGAAAACTGGCACAAAAAAGCACAGTGAAGGAATAGGTACTGTAAAGCCAGCAAGTTCATTGTAATTCAATTCACGACGATCATAAGTTCATATTCTCAAGTAATCAGCTCCTTGAGAACATCATTAAAAACACTATGGTTCTTACCTCGATTTTTTCCTTATGTATATTTGTTGAAAGATGTCTCCATATTGTGTCTGAAAAAGGAATATCATAAGAAGAATCCTTCTGTAGATGGCGCCATTCTCCTATGAGATAGCTGTGAAAACATACAATTTCAAAAGCACGGACAAGACATTAAAATTAGGAATCTTTAGAATGGCAGGTTCCCCTATAGGGAGGGTACACAGCACTACAGCACCCTCCAGTCCTGAATAAATAATATGGATTATAAATGGTTGGGATCAAGACCATTTTCTCACATAGTATCATGAAGCATACCTCTCAATCACGCCAAAAACCTTGTCACTGGAATGTAGTCCTAGAGAGTCCAAGTGAAACACCCTTGGCCCAGATTCTATCTCTTTTGCGGGCATGAAGATAATGGCCAAGCTCCAATGCACCCTAATTTACAGAACAAAAGATAATTACCATCTTATAAGTACTACCTCCATCCCAAAATATAAGACGTTTTGGTAGGTACAAATACAATGGAGGTAGTATATGATAACTAGATACACTAGAATGTTAACCATTGACCAACAAACACACCCTCATGTCAAATATCAACCAAACAAATAATATATGCTTGGGAGTAGCAGATAAGCACATCTGGTTTCATCTTGCAGTATTATCCAGAGAATAAGAAACTTACTGTCCATGAATTGGCAAAAGGAGGTATGGTGTCTTAAAAATATCTACACTTCTCCACCATCGCCTTAACTTGCTAAAGTGCGAGCCACACTCACCCTAGAACAAATGCACAAGTCAGTCAGCATTTTAAAACGTTAGCTTCGAGGGGGTGAAGAATAGGTGATCCCAACATGCAAAAGGTAATAAATAAACAGAGATTTACAAAATGAAAGGGTAATGGGAAGTACGATATTTTCCAGAGAAAAACATATATGAACCGGCTTTCTGGAACATATCATGTTGAAAACAAAAAAACCCATGCATATTGCAATTTACACATTAAACATTCAAATGACTGCCACGGTTTTATACAATTTCTTGGAACATAAACTGGGAATAAAACTTCGCAATCCGAAAAACTGTCTCAAGAAAAAGTACAAAGTAATATGATTGTTATATTTACATATGCACATGTCAGCCCCATATTTTACTAACCTTATCAGTAAGGTGACATAATTTAAAATAAGCTTTGGAAAATCAATAGAACATGGACAAATTAGTATATGAAAAATAATGTGAATTGAATGACACCAGGGTGTTAACTTTGCAATGAGAGAATGCAGTGCACTACAGCAGAAAGTTACAAGTGTTTATGTGCGCATCGCTGTATGGGAACAATGAAGCTTCCACTTCAGGGCAGCTCATGCACCAACTAGAATGTAACTTCAACCCATGGATTTGCAAGGACATGTAGTGTTGAACATCATAAATGACTAAATACAACACAATAAGATCAAAGAGCATACCTTCCTGGATAACGCTTTTTCAAGTTTGCTATAGACATATGTATTGAAGATGTACAAGTCGTCACAAGGCCTGGAATTTTTTAGGTACCTGACATTCCATAGTAGGTATGGACAGAAAACATGTATTAAAAACTACTCCCTCCGTGTAGTGTCAAAAACGCTCTTATATTATGGACGGAGGGACTAGAAAGCATATGATCGAATTTTTTATGCTTATTCAGCTAAACCATCCAAACTAGAAAAACAAATACAACACCAACATTCGATCTTCAAGGGGACACATCACAGTAAGGGGTTGTTTGGATAGCAAATATTAGGCGTTGGTTTATAGAAAATGAGTTTTTAGCTGATTTTTAGCAAAACCAGTTTTACTATTATTTCGGTTAAGAATGAGTTTGTATAAGACTACGTTTGGGTTGGAGAGTGTGTTTGTCAGTTCCTTATTCGATAATGATTCAGAGTACTATTCCTATTCTGCGGTGAGCTTCTTATTTTCCCGTCACATTCCGTCGAGGTACGCAAATACAGGAGAGTTGACTCATCGATCTCGCCGGACAGCCGTGTACACGCTCATGTAGAAGCTAGCTACTGAGGCAAGCGCTCGATCAATTCGATCCGCCTGCTGCCGGACGCACGAAATTACGGCCATGAACACGCACACAGAATCTTGCTGCCTAGAGCGATGGCTGGATCAATTCTATCGGCCGGCTGCAGAACTCACGAAACGATGCCGCCCACATGTGTATCTAGAAGCTAGCTACCGACGGGAACAAGCTGGATCGATTTGATCTGCTGGCTTCCGAGTTCCGACGCATGTACACGCTCAAGGAGCTGACCTTGGCGGCGACAACGACAAGACGGACGGCGCAGAAGAAGCGGCGGCAGGCGGCCGGCGGCTAGAGGATGACGTCGTCGAGGTGTGGCACACTAGTGAGAGCCCATCGAGGCTGTCGCCGGTCACGGGCACATCTGCAGATTCTAATTCTTTGGCTGATGAACGTGCCCACGAGGATCAGCGAGAGAGATATAGGAATCGCGTTTATAGAAAAATGACTAATAGTCGTTTTTGTACAAACCTGAAATTCCAGGTTTATAGGAATCCAGTTTTGCATATCCGTGGATTAGTTAGAAGACCCAAACGTGGTTTTAGTCGGTTAAACAGTTTTTTTGTTTTATATAGAACCGATTCTCTATATTCCATCTATCCAAACAACCCCTAAATGTGAGATGTTGAAACGTCATGAATCATTCGATCGGATACACTTGCACTTTTAGTCCTTTATACACATCAAATATGTCTTTCAACCACGCATTCATTAACTAGTCTGTTGGTACTGATAATTCCCTGTAGTAGCTCAGTGATAGAGTGAGTACATCACATAACGTACTTTTCTAATTCTACATAACATTTGATAGTCCTTAAGTGGCATCTAAGGTAAGAACTGCATATAATAAGAAAAGAAAAAAGACATCTATAAATAAATGCAGTTCAGTCATACCCATGCAAACTTTCCAACAGCTGCATGTGAGCACTTGGACGTTGAACTTACTAACAGAAGAAAGAGGAAGATAATGTCACAAGCAGAAAAGAGAAATATTACTTACTGGATGTAAAAGTTTACGACAGGTGATTTTAAAAAAACTTCAGGGTCAAGACATTTTATGTCAGAATATGTCAGCTCGACAGTTTCCGGATCAGTCCTGTAAGACAGTAGTAGACATTAGTATGGGCAGAGAATCCCTCTGTCAATACCTCTTAACAGTACATGATTCGTACCTCGATGGATAGTAGATCTTTGATTTGTCCCTACAGAAATCCAATTTGATTAATTAAGCATATAAATGGTCATAGTGATGAAATGTTAACAGGCAGAAACATTATCACTTATTGTGTTACCAATTTACCGTATATTAACAATCTCGACATCAACTGATTTAGAAGGTTCTGTATCCTCGTCATCCAAGAGTACTGTATCCTCGTCATCCAAGTGAACTACTTCCTGACAAAGATAAGAGCATGATTGGAATACATATGTAGAAATCTTAATTCATGTCAAACATTTGCAGCTAAGATTAATGAAATTAATGATAATGATGAAGTATTCAAGCATCAATGACGATCTTCTCAGTGAATCAAATCCAAACACTGTAAATGATTTGATGACCAATATTTGTATTTGGCAGATCTAGGTTTTAACTCGATACATTTATTATTTATAGTAGGGGCCTTCTCTACTGTTTATGCTAAAAAAGATTTATTATTCAGAAGACATGTTGGATGAAATAACAGAAACAACCTTTGCATTTGTACTCATAATGTTACACCATGATAAGTACTATAACGCTAGTTGTGGATAGCAATTTTAGTTCTGATAATGAATTTCATTTTCATAAGGAGGGAATGGAAAAAACAATACCACAAAACAGTCAAAGAAAAAGGTGAAACAGCTGTCAGCATATTCACCTTCTTTTCGTTTCTTCTATTTAACCTCCGGTATTGGTAGGTATCATTCTTGGAATGGTCCCACCTGCACATCAGAATAATTTATCAGAGAAACAAAGTGTTATGTAGGGTACTACGTACCAACAGGAGCTCAAGCCCTCACCCAAGAGCTGTGGTACACCATGGCTACAAACCCCGGCCTCCCATCCAGCACAACTACAATCTACAGTCACGATCCGGGGTTTATACCACATATAGTGGTTTTAAAGACAGATGTTACTTATAAGAATTATTCAGATGCAACTATGTTCCTCTTATAAATTAGAAAAGATAAGGCAAACTTATTCCCACATGGAGACTCCAACAGGTTAATCCAAATAGCTGGCTATGAGGGCTCCGGAGCCGTATATGCATGTTATAAGCCCACTGTTTCATTATTTCACTAACTTCCACCGACAGCTAATGGTGACGTTATGGACTACACAAAGAAGATATAGCATTGAAGATAGATGTGCTTAGCATGCCAATTGCTGCAATGACAGGACATAATCTTTGAAGTCTCTAATGATGATAACAGCCCTCCGGAGACGCAAACAAAACAAAGATACCAGTGTCTATGAAATCAGAAAGACACCAGAATTATTTATATTGAAGTTTATTTATAAATGAAACGCAAAATAGTGTAGCTGACAGAGTGACAATAGAAAGAGAAATAAATCAACAAATGGAGACACGCACAAGCAAAATGACACAAGTCATAAATGTTGTACAACAAGAACAAAGTGAAAAGTCTCAGATGCATAAGCAAAACAGACGACAACTAAAGAAGAGATAACATAGCTCATACAACTAATAAAGGTAAAAGAACAGATGAATTGGATCAGCAAACAGGAGTGAATACCTCTTGGTCGAACTCCCAGAAGTGCGATCTTCTGTGCGTAGTTTAGTGGACATGCCCTTTGGCTCAGCAGAGTAATTTTTCTGTTGATCTTCTGTACAGATCTTCATACCTAACTTACTACCATTTGTATCTAAATGTTTCTTGTCAGCAATATTTTGAGAAACTCTACGCCTTTTTGGTTGACGATTCACCGTGTTCGTTGCTCTTTTCCGATCTATCACTTGGGAAGCACGTTTGCTTGTGTTAAAATGGCCTAGCTCATCAGTGAATGCTGCTTCGCCCTACATATAACCAGGAAAGTTGTCAAAACGTTTGTAATTTGTAAATACTAACCACAATAGTATCGTAACATACAAAACTAGGAGCGAGGACACTAAAATGCATACCTTGCCATGGCAATGCCATTTATCAGAAAACCTGCTGCAGTTGATGTGGTCACTTTCCTCTGCAAAAGAAATGGCAAAGGTACATTGATGACTGATAAAACATAAGTGGCACCCATCAGACAGTTGAAGGCAGGAAAAAGGAAGGTCTTAGATCGACCAACCACCAAAAGGAAGACCTAATAAATGAATCCTAATGCTTACTGATCAGGTGCATTACGCCATTGAAATATCCAAAAGGGACGTGCATTTTTTATATCAACAAAATATGATTATGCTGGAAACATGGTACCATAGGTGTTTGTTGACCTTGTAAACAGACTGTCTAGAGCCTGAAGCATCTATGCTCCCTCCCATGTAAGGAAACATCCATATCTTGTCGAGCAGTATACAACATAATGAAATCAGTTGACCACCACTATCCATTATAAGAACTTCCTAGAAAGTCCAAATCCAAATTCAGCTATATGCTAGCTAGTAGCTACTTCCTCTTAAGGCTTAACAACATCTAGCATCAGAAACCATGAACGATAACCAAGTCTCGGTACTGTTTATGTATTCTGATTGAGAGATTGGGATAGCATGCGTTCATTAAAACAAGAATATTGAATTAGCCAATAGTTTAACACCTCCCCTCCAATGCCCAAATCACCTTCAAACCATGCCATACGGCCTTCTTCTACATGGTAGTTATCCCTATGGGTTTCAGGTGGCCATCAGATGGGTAAAAGAAAACAAAACAGCATATGTATCTGATATTACTTGAGGTTTTTTTAAGTGCTAGGCGCTGAGAGAGCATTTTGCCTCCACTTATAATGCAATAACAGCTTAAGCAGCACCTAGGCGTGCTTAAGCGTTCTGTATGGATGTCATACGGAGAGGAACAAGGGCACACCAAAAAAAACATTTTTCAAAGCATGCAAGGCATGTATAAATGTAAAATAGCAATTATGTTGGGAAAGGAGAGACGAGGAGTAACTCGAGGTTGGGGAAGAGAAGCCACCAGGCTCCAGCCTAGACAAGGAGGAGTCCGTGATCGGGGGAGAGGGGGAAGGACTGGTGGCGTGGTCGGGGAAGGGGAGCTCAAGGTCCAGCGGCACTAGGTTGGGGAAGATGGGTGGTGAGGTTGGGGAAGAAAGCCCCAGATCTGGCGGCGCAATGTCGCCTTGCTCTCCTCTGTTTGTCTCACTCGGCTCTCCTTCATCTAACCCTAAGGCATCCGAGCGCTTTTTTCAGCGCTTATCCCAAAAGCAAAGCGGTAGGCCTCCACTCAGAGCTTAAGCGCGCCTAGGCGTACACTCAACTTTTCACTGATATTCTACTGACGTGCATTGCATAAACAACTAAACAGAAATAATAAAGCTTACTGAAGGTGTAAGGATCATCCCCACTGGGTGTCTGCGCTGACTGTCTCCGACCCGTGTCAACCTAAAATAATTAATGAAAACCACAAAGTAAGGGCATGGATGAAATATGCTGACACATCCAATAAAAGTATGCTCACAAATAGGAATATATTAGGACGGCCCAATAATACCGCCATAGAACATAGCAAAAGTAAATTGTTCAGAAATATTATTAAATTCCTTGTTAGTTGCCCTGATTGTGAAGACACAACATCTCATTCATATGCCCATAACACCAAAGAACTGATGCTTCAAACACATTCAAGATAAAAATGATATATCGTGGAACAGAAGACGTTTGGCACAGTGAACTGAGCGCTAGCTCAGTGGTAAGGGCACTGTCAAGCGTCCCGAGCCAGCCGGGTTCGATCCCGCACAGGGAGCTAATATTTCAACCGAGATTCTCGCTTCTATAATCAAAGGCCGAGGGGTCCTTCCCCCTATGGGCTCATTTTTCTTTCCATCAAAAACAATGTTTGGCAGAAGCTGCTTATGTGCCAACTTAACTGCACAAGTCTGCAACCATGGCTTAGAACTTCCAGCATCCCACTTTCACAAACAAGACAACATATACTTTCCTTAACTGAATACAAAAGGGAAGAGCACAAATCTGCAGTTAATCAAGACAATGAGGCTATTGAAAGTGGGGCATCTAGTATCACTCATCACACTGAATACTACTCCCTCCGTCCAAAAATACTTGTCATCAAAATGGATAAAAAGAGATGTATCTAGAACTAAAATACATCTAGATACATCCCCTTTTCTCCATTTTGATGACAAGTATTTCCGGACGGAGGGAGTATCTTTCAAAAGAAATTACTTGACTGACAATAGGCACCTGAATCGCTACCCAACATAATAAATCGGACATCACCAAAGGCTAAACTACTAGCCAGCATTTAGAATTTAATTACTGAAACAAAACAAACTTCCTGTCACGAAGAGATAGAATGCAGATCAGCTGATAAAACACCCCCTTTGGTCACGCGCGATTTCACCTTTGCAACATAACCATCGATAATCCTCACATACACGAATTCAGATTGGGGCAAAAGCACGCAGTTTGGAGAAAAATCCCCGTGAAACGATATTATGCAAAGCCCACATTATACTCACCTTCCTCGGCCCGGCAGCGCGGCGGCGATCAAGCTCTTTCTTCATCCTGCAGAGTAACTTACGCATCTTCTCGCCGCCGTCAGGTACGGATAGGGTCCGATTACCGCTCCAGTGCTTGATCCTTTCCTCCAGTTTTTCATCAGTGAATCTCTTGAACTCATCCGGATCCCCCTCACCACCGTCGGAAGCGCCATCGCTCGCCGCAGGGGGCTGCGGCGTCACACGCGGAGAGGAGGAGGCGACGATCTCGACCTCCGCCGGCGGCGAGTCGAGGGGCATTTGCGCCCGGTCGATGATTATCGGGCCATTCGGCATGGTCGGTGCCGCCGGGCGGCGGCGGGCGGGCGGTGGAAAACGGGCGGAGGAGGGTTTTATTCCATACGAGGGGAGAGTGCGGTGCGGCGGGTGCAGGAAAGGAGGAGACGAAGGGGAAAACGAGATTTTTCGAAAATCGAAAAGTCGGAGAAATCCCGAGAAATAACCTCCGACTGATATGCTGCCGCTTCAATCCCCCCCTCAAAAACGCAGTAATGCGTCCACCTGCCTGGTGTGGCGCCTGTCCAATTTATGCGCACCTTCTTGCCACTGTCCACTCAACGTGGCCTACGCAACTACTAAGGCCTCCTTTGATTTGATTTAATTTGGAGGAATTTTATAGGGTAGGATTCATATATAGAAAAAAAATCCCTTGGGCATTTGTAGCCGATCCGCAGAATTTAGAGTAAACGACTGAGTATTCCTCTTTCTCAAAATAGGTTTCGTCCAGCTTTATAAATAAAGCAACCATCCATACAACCAACATTCAAACGTCATAGCAAATACGGCTGGGCAAACAACACAATCACGCTCAAAAAAGCAAAAGAGAAATAATAAAAAGAAAAAACATCGAGTGGCGGCCGACAGAGGCCCTACGAAGAGGATAGCGGGCCCTACGAAGAGGTTAGGCGACACACGGTAGTCAGAAGCGCATCCAGCATGAGCCCGAGCCGATCACGGTCGTGTTATCTAGAGAGTGGGTACCAGTGTTGCAGAAAAGTAAGGAATTTGAAGGAGTCAGAGGCTTGTCGCAGAAAGATCCGCTCAATCACCATTTTATTACGTGTCATCCATGACGTACAGGACATCGCCGCAAAGATTAGCCAGAATAAGCGGTGATGCCGCTCGTGCTGTGTAGCTCTGTCCTGAAGAAACTCCTCAAAGTCCAGGGCCTCCCAGTCGGACCCCGGAGCCTCGCGGGCGAAAGTCCAGAGGACCCATGTTGTCGTGCACGAGAATAGGATGTGAGTCCCGGTTTCCGGGACCGCACAAAAAGGCACAAGCCATCACCCGGGCCATGCCGCTTAAGCACCTCGGTCCCCGAGGGAATGCGGTCTTGTAGTAGTTGCCACACAAAAATCTTAATCTTCAAGGGCAGTGGTGCCTTCCACATAGGGGAAAGAGAGGGGATGATGGGCGACCGGCATAGTGCCTGGTAAGCCAAGCTCACCGAGAACTCACCCGAAGGAGTGAGGCTCCAAGAAACGGTATCTGGATAATCCAGCAACACCGGCGGGAGGGCAGCCCGCAATCTAGCCCACCCCTCAGTTTCCACTTGCCCAAATGTGCGAGGGGACAAGATGTTCCAGTGCCCATCATGGGATGCCATGGAAACCAGGAGCGTCGGGTCCGCGCAGATAGCGAAGAGACCAAGGAAGCTCACCCTAAATGGCTCGCCACGCAGCCAAGGATCCAACTAGAATTGGGTTCCTTCCCCATTTCCTCTAGTGAAGGAGACCCCTAGACGAATATCCTCCTTGATCCGTTGGATGGATCTCCAAGACTGGGAACCCCCCGAGCGAGAGCAAGCTAGGAGAGGCTCACCCCTTAGTTTTTTTTTTGCATGAAGCAGCTGCAGCTACAAGCCGCCCTCGCCTTGCAAGATCCGCCACACCCATTGCAGCATGATGGGGACGCTCATGCATCGGGAGGCCATAATACCTAGTCCCCCTGATCCTTGGGAAACATATGTCCACCCATTTGACCATATGATACTTCAGGCGGCCATTCGCGGCCTGCTAGAAAAACCTAGCAAGATCCTTATCGAAGGATCTATGGACACTAGTAGAAAACAGACCTTTCGTCCGCCCCTTTAGTCCCGGCTTGGTTTTGGCCCGAGACTAATGTGACCATTAGTCCCGGTTCCAACGACTAGGAGCGGATGGGGGTACGAGCATCATTAGTCCCGGTTCATTTTGACCTTTAGTCCCGGTTTGTATAACCTGCTACCTCTTTTAGCACTGCGTTGGTTTTCCCCGAAGAGGAAGGGATGATGCAGCAAAGTAGCGTAAGTATTTCCCTCAGTTTTTGAGAACCAAGGTATCAATCCAGTAGGAGGCTACGCGCGAGTCCCTCGTACCTGCACAAAACAAATAAATCCTCGTAACCAACGCAAATAGGGGTTGTCAATCCCTATAGGGCCACTTACGAGAGTGAGATCTGATAGATATGATAAGATAATATTTTTGTATTTTTATGATAAAGATGCAAAGTAAAATAAAGGCAAAGTAAATAACTAAGTAGTAGGAGATTAATTGATAAAGATAGACCCGGGGGCCATAGGTTTCACTAGTGGCTTCTCTC